AATAATACCTATCTTAAAGCAATTTGGATGAGGATTAAATAAATCAGTTTATGCAAAAGACAACTATTACAAAATGTTAAATAAGTATTATTATTATTATTACTTGCAGAGGTGGTCAGAGGAAGCGATCCCTGTGTTCTGTATAGAGCGTGTTCGTGAGACTTGTCATGCATTTCTGCCCAGAGCCACACATACACCGTCATGGGGGGCTTAGTTGGCTTGTGCTCCGTATCTGGCCTTGGGATCAGAATTGGCCCTTCTGTTCCTGACGCCAAGGGGGATTAACTTGCCTCACCTTCTTGAGCCAGACCAGGCTGGTCCCCTGGAATGGATCAGGGCGGGAAGAGAAACGTGCACAGACCCAGGCTCCTAAGATTGTGAGATAGGATAAGAGACACAGAGAAAAAACCCAGCTTGCTCAGGACTGCACTTAGGCAAACTTCATGACTAACCAGAGATCACACATGGGTAGTGTATATATTGCCCTGGCGGGAATAGTTAGTTGGAAGCCTCACCCAAGGGGAGGACATTCTGCCCAGGACCCTCAGTCAGGACTCTAGAGGGGGCTGTTCACCGAGGAGCTCCCCCAGCCAGAGGTTGGATGTTGCGAGTACCTGATTTGATGTGTTAACCCTTCTCTGTTCTTCTCTATACTCTCCCCCTCTTTATGTTTACTCGAATTATTTAATTCCATATATTCCCTTTCCCATATAATTAATAAAACTTTCCTCCACAAAACAGAAAGCGTGGCTATCGTGAATTACTGTTATTCAGAACATTCTGGAAAGAATTTTGGACATAATAGTAACAGGAAGCTAGAGCTGAATAAATAAGCATTAGCTGTGTAGGATTATGAGGGCACTGACTTGGGTAGGGAGGGACCACGTGGGTTGTTTATTTATTTCATTTATTAATCATCTTGTGTTTGCCCGGGCATTTGGCCAAGGAAAGAGCACGGGGCTTGAAGTTCAGACACGGCTGGGTTTAGAACCCACAAGCTGGTGGCCTTGGACAAGTTCCCTCCCGTGTTGAACCTCAGTGTCCTCATCTGTCAGATGGAGATGATGATGGTATGAACTTCTGGGAGGGGGGCTGTGGTGAGGAATAAATAAATAGCATGCTTGGAAAGCATTCCACTGGGTGCTGGCACCTTCTAGGCACTCTGGAAATTTTAGCCCTATTCTAATGCTGTTACTGCGTACAGGGTCTGCCACATGTGAGCCAGGCAATTGTGACACTGGGTCGCTAACGGGACATCACCTGCTTGGCAAGACCTGCCGAGCTCTGACAATGCACCAGGCACCCTTCCAGGCACCGGGGATGCTGCTGCGAGCAAGACACCTGAGGGTCCTGCCCCCGTGGAGCCGAACGTGCTGGAAATTCCATCGGGGGTCTGAGAAAGGGAATGGAAAAAGACACGAGCATACACCTCTCCTATTTGCTGCAGATGTGCTGGGCTCCTAGGGTGTCCAACGGAGGGAACTCTGACGTGGGTCTTTCTCCATCTGGAGCCTGAATGCGGCAGGGCACCAGGATCTGCGCCCACGCCTGGAACAAGAGCTCCAGACCCCTATAATTGTAGAGAAAACACTAAGCAAAAATGACATCCAGAAAGCCAGGCCTTTGAGGGAGCCACAGGGCCCCCCCCCTGCAGGCCCTACAGACCCAGCCCTCCGTAGAGTTAGGGCTCAGGGGTGGTGAGGCTGGGTGGGACGGTGTCGGGGGGGGGGGGCGGCTGGAAATACCTAGGGGAGCACGGAACGTGGAGTCTTGCTGCCATGGAAAGGCAGCACAGGAGGAGCACAGAATTGTGTCTGCGTCCTGGCACTTCCCGTGTGACTTGAGGCAGCTACTGCTCCTTCCTGGGCCCCTGTTTCCGGACTGCAGGGTGATGTCACCCTCCCCCTGGGCTGTTTGAGAATTAACTGCAGTCCTTCCCATGTGAAAGCTCTAAGAGGAAAGTAGCCAAGAAAACACTTGTTCTGGGACCCGGGGTCGAATATTGCCCCCAACCCCTGCCCCAATACTCACACACGTGTGCACACACACACACACACACACACTCCACAGGGTCTTTCCTTCCCAGAGAGAGCCAGCCTGGGGGCCCCCTCCCCTACCTGGCTTCTCCTGGTCCTGGCCCCATGTTTTCCTCTGGCTGATGACAGCCTGTAGGGCTTACTGACTCCTCTCCAGGAGGCTAGGTCAGCAGGATGAGCAGCTGCCTCCCTCAGCTTCCCAAAACGGAAGGCTGGCCTGACCCAGAAACGTAGTGAGAATCTGGGGGCGGGGGCTGGGGGAGGGAGCACATACAACAGGCATGTGGGAGGATCACTGGACAAGACCAGGGGTTCCCAAGTCCCACTGTGTGGCCTTCGGCAAGGGGCTTCACCTCTCTGAGCCATGAGGGTCCACTGAGGTCATGAATAAAGTGTTGGGCACATGGTCTGGTACACAGTCGGTGCTCAGCTAAATGTAAGCCGTGACGGTGATTATAAACCGTAGTACAGCAGAGGGGTCAAGAGCCAAACTGCCTAGGTTCGAATCCCAGCTCTGCCACTTAACTGGGTGTGCAGACAAGGGTGAGTCGTGCAATCTCACTGAGACTTGGTTCTCTCAGCAATAAAATGGGGATGATAAAAGTCCTTTCCTTATAGGGCTATAGGGGGATCGCCTGTGTTAATATACATAAATTTTAAGTGCTTAGAACAGAACCTGGAGCGTGGAAAGTGCTGGATAAATGCTAATGTTTGCTATTTCTGTTTTCTAGCTGCACACCCTCCCTCCTCTCCTGCTGGCAGCATCCTTGAAATGAGAAGGTGGATGAAGGCTCTGTGGGGTTGTGGGAAGGAGGCCTAGAGAGGAAGGAGTAGGAGGGTCTTCTAGAACGCACCCATCAGCAGACTCACCCATAAATAAACACATAAACACACTAAGCGCTCCACCCGCTCAAATCCACACACAAACGGCTGGGGACCAAGCCACCCACCCAGAAACCTCACCCTGGCCCCGGCCCAGGTCCCAGGCAGCACCGGCTTTCTTCTCTGGGTCACACAGTGATTCTCCCCGTTCTGGCTTCAGAGCCAGCCAACCAGCCTCGCCCCTGCTGTAATTATAGGTGCGCTGAGGCTTCTGTGCCCAGCCATGACGTCAGCCTCAAGCTTCTAGCCTGATGATCTCACCAGAGTCAAGTGGGGACCCAGTCACTCGGGATGGGGGAGCGGGGGCACATCAGCCTTCCTCTCTCTGCTAGTGGGGGAAGGAGGGTGGGGTCTCTACCAGTCAGCTCAGCACAGACCCTGGCCGCCCCCCCCCAAGCCCTGTCACCTGGCAGCTGTGTGCATACCTGCAAAATGGGGGTGGTGATAACATCCCCGATGTTGTGACGGTTCAAAGGGTTGGCACGTGCTCGCCACAGAAGCATAAGAGGAGGCCAAAAATGATGGTAACTGTTGCTCTCCATAGAATTATTTTTAGCAAACGGCCTCATGCAGGCACTGCTGAACATCAAAACGATTTCTCAACCAATGACTCATTGAATTCCTTAACACCCCCACCCCACCCCACCCCACCCCACCCCAGGAGGAAGGCAGGGCTGAGACCCTGAAGCCCACGGGGGAGGGAGAGAGGTGGGGGAGAACGGCACACCCAACTGCCCACCTGTTGTTGGGGACAGATCAAAGTTAGAACCCAAGCTCAAGGGGCTGTTAGGTAGAAGGACGGTTTACAAATTCATTCTCCAAGCTATGTGGGAGGGACAGGGAAGTCTAGAACAGGTCCTCTGTGGGCTCCCTGTGTCAGACCAGACCGCCTGCCCGGGTACAGCACCTTCTGATAATCATCATTATTAACAGTCATGCAGGGCTACCATTGGTTAGCACTTCCTGTGATAGTTTCCTCATCTGTAAAATGGGGACAGTGGCACTCCCCTTACCTCCCGGGATTGGTGGTGCCGTTGAAGCCGGTCTAATATTTGGAAAGCACTTAGAACGGGACCCAGCAGACAGCAAGCATCATGTAATGGAGAACTCCAAACTGAATATGCGAAAGTGTCAGTCTGCTAAATGTTTAAGGATGGTTACCTCATGTGTTCCTCATGACACATCCATGCAGTGGCTACTATGGGGTCCATTTTACAGCTGGGAAAACTGACAGCTCACAGGTGGCTGGGGAATAATGTTACTGCTCTCAGAGGACACTGAAGGCAAGTGTCCACGCCGGGTTGTGAGTGGGCATTGCGGCCCAAAGCCACCTGCCTTCAAATGCACTGGGCTCCCAGCCCTCTCCCCTCCTTCTGCAGGAGGCAGCAGGCTCTGGGGAAGGTATTACCGAGGGTGACCTGAGCCCTCAGCAGGCAGAGGGTTATTAATAGCCGGCCTTTGCACTGAGAGTGGGGAGGCGGCTCCGGAGCGAGCCCTGGGAGAGGGGGCGGAGCTGAGCCCAGCCGGGAGGAGAGTGTCCACTGGCTGGCTGAACTCGGCCCCTCCCCTACCCCTGGGAGCCCAGCTGTTCCCTCAGCGGATTCTCAGGGGCTGGTTCATCACCTCCGAATACTCCTGTGACAGGAGGCGCTCGAAAAACCCGCCTCCAGCCCCAAGCAGCAATAAATAGAAGGCTCTCAGCCCTGAAGAAGCAAGGAGAAGTTTCTAGGCCGGCGTCCCTGGGTTTATTAAGCTCCTGACTCTCCTCTAGACATCTCAGTGGCTCTGGCTGAGAGCCTGGACAGTCTGGGAGGACAGTGACCGGCGGATCTCTGGTGAGGCAGAGCGGAGAGGGGCCCTCTGGAATTCTGCTGGACCAGCCGGTGGTAGCCTTTGGAGTGTCTTTGGGGGCTGGGATCCCAGCCGGGTGCACACCCTCTGTCCTTGGCAGTGGATGGTTCGGCATTTTCTGAAGCAGAAAAATAAGCTTGAGGGCCAACCCACCCGCATCACCTTGCCGTGTGACCTTGGGCAGGTGGCTCCGTCTCTCTGAGCCTCCGTTTCCCCTCCAGCTCAGCAGCCATGGCTGACGGTCAGATGCCCTTCTCCTGCCACCTCCCAAGCCGCCTGCGCAGAGACCCCTTCCGAGACTCATCCCTGCCCTCGCGCCTGCTGGATGATGACTTTGGCATGGACCCCTTCCCGGACGACTTGACTGCCTCTTGGCACAACTGGGCCCTGCCTCGATTCTCCCCAGCATGGCCTGGAACCCTGAGGTCAGGCATGGTGCCTCGGGGGCCCACGGCTGCAGCCAGGTTCGGGGTACCTGCGCAGGGCAGGAGCCCCCCACCCTTCCCTGGGGAGCCCTGGAAAGTGTGTGTTAACGTGCACAGCTTTAAGCCAGAGGAGCTGATGGTGAAGACCAAGGACGGATACGTGGAGGTGTCTGGTGAGTGAGGGGCAGGAGTGAGAGAGAACCCGGGAGAAGGGTGTAGGCCTCAGCCCCGGGAACGGCCAAGAGAATGTTTGTTCCCTTAGAGGGTGAGCTGTGACAGCGTGACACAGGTGACTTCAGGGCTCAGGAATGCAGGCCACAGAAGTTATCTTTGTGGAAAGGCTGTGCTCTCCCTGGCTTCCAGGAGACACCTCAACCTGACCCAGTGGCTGGGGCCTTTGAGGGCTGTATCTAGCAGTCAGAGCACAGTCAGGGAAGTAGAAACCACGTCACAGGTTTTGACAGAAAAAAAAAATTAATAGAAAGGGTAAGTCAAACAGATAGAGAAGAAATACAAAGACAAGGACGAGGTGGGGCACAGTGTCACAGCACAGTCTAGAAGAGTGTGTTAAGTGCTGTGCCACGATAGAGCTAATGATCAGCGCAGGTTTCAAGAGGAATGGGGCCCCTTGTTCCAGATAAGGGCGCTGAGGCCTGACAGTCACTATGAGGATACTAATTGGGACCTTGATTGAGCATTTACTTTCCGCTAGGCACCGCACTCCGCCCTTTACCTGTAGCATCTCAGTGAAGGCAACCAGAGGAGGTGGGGCCTGTCTGTCTCCTCTTTTCACAGATGAGGAAACTGAGGCACAGAAAGCTGAAAGTAACTTGTCCAAGGCCGCCCAGATTCAAACTCAGGCTGTCTTGGGAATTGGGAGGCCAGAAGAGATTTGATGATTTATTGAGCACCTACTAAGTACCAAAAACTGGACTAAGACTCTTAGATTCCTTCTTCCAAGTAATCCTCACTCCGGCCCTGAGAAGCGGGGCTGTCTGCTCCCATTTCACAGCTGAGGAGGCTGAGGCCCAAGCGGAACTTGTCCGAGGTCACGCCATGAGTCAGCAGCAGGAAGAGTCTAGGCCTGCCCAGGACGCCAGGCCTGGGGTCCTTGCCGCCACATCCCAGCCTGGGAGAAAGGAGGAGGAGACAGGAGACTCAGTCCCTGCTGGGCAGGGGAACAGCTTTCTCTCTCTTCCCTCCCAATTAACGCTCCATTAAAAAGAGTGTGTTCCCGGCACAGGCTGGCAGGCCAGAGAATCAATAAAAGCCATTGCGAGGCAGGCTGGGCAGATACAAGCCCTGGCGGGGCAGGCGGCGTGTAGGGGGAGTTTTCAAAGCCTCCCAGGGCGGAATTGTAAACATCAGAGGCTCTGCCGGGGGTGGTGGGCCAGGAGACACGCTGGGGCCATGTGCGGATGGAGGGGTTCAGCCAGGGCGTTCCGAGTTGGCTGGTGGCCAGGCCTGAGTTCTGAAAGTGGCTGTGCCACACTAACCAGCAGGATGCACAGAATGTTTATCTTTCCCGTGCTGTGTTTCCTTATCTGGAAATCGGGGTTCTGGTGCTAAATGAGCCGACGGGGGTCAAGTGCGGACAAGGGTTCAGTATTGTTATTGCTGTGATGCTGCTGTTATTAAAATGCTGGGCACAGAGCAAGGCCCCAATACACCATAGATCGTAGATGTTCTTTGAGACCTGGGTTCAAATCCCGACACTGCCCGATGGAAGACTGCTCAGAAAGTCTTCTCACTGTTCTGAGCCTCAGTTGTCTTATCTACAGAATGGGGATCATGATAATATCTCTCCTGCAGATCTGTAGAGAAGATTAAATGTGAGCTGACAATATATGATAATAAATGCAGAGAGTCTGTAAAATGGAGCTAATAATAGTGTCTGCCTGGCACTCTGTAAACGATGATTATCACCACCTCTCCCGTCTCTGGTTTTCATTCGGATTCCAGAGTCTTCCACCCTTGGTTGGAGGTGTCCCCGTGCCCTCTGGCCCCTCCAGGAGACCCCTGAAGTATATCTCCCCCATTCTCTTCCTTTCTACGTGCTTCTTTAAAAAAAAAATTTTTTTTAATGTTTATTTATTTTTGAGAGAGACAGAGTGTGGGAGGGGGAGGGGCAGAGAGAGAGGGAGACACAGAATCTGAAACAGGCTCTAGGCTGTGAGCCGTCAGCACAGAGCCCGATGCAGGGCTCGAACTCACGAACCGTGAGATCATGAGCTGAGCTCAAGTCAGATGCTTAACTGACTGAGCCACCCAGGTGCCCTTCTAGATGCTTCTTAACAGGTGGGTTCTGGCAGCTCCAGGCTGAGATCTCAGCTAAGCACCTTACTAATGCAGTGGCACTGAATGAGGCTTTGAGTGAATCATGGAGCCTCAGTTTCCATATTTGTAAAATGGGGAGGTTGGGTGCTTCAATAAGACAGACAAAGCCTTTTTAGGTTGTAAAATGCCTCATAGGTATGTACTTAGCACCCTCAGCTTGACAGAATCCAAATCCCCTGAAAGTACATATAGAGACTCTCATAAAATGGATGTGAAATCAGATTGATATCAGGGTTCCATTTAAAATCAGCTCCAATCTTTTATCTTATATCTCATAATGACAGACCTATTCTTCAAGCACTCGGTGTAGGCACTGTGCTAAATGCCTACAAATGTTGGCTCCCAGGTTCCTCATGTGGACTTGCAAGGAAATATAGGTAGGTTTGTGACACCCACTTTACAAGGAGGAAATTGAGGCTCAGAGAGAGTAACTCACCTGAGATCCCCTGGTCCTCCATGGCAACGCCTGAAATTCAAAGCCAGGCCTGCTGAGACAGTTCCGAGTCAGGATGGCTGCATTTTCTTCTGATTGTGCGGCCTTGGGCAAATCCTCCCACGTCTTGGGCTTCAGTTTTACTGTTGGCCTTAGGTCTTAGGAGGAGTTGAACTAAATCAGTATTTGCCAAACAGTACATTTTAAGATATCACGAGGCACCTGAGAAATGGAAGGAAGGCGGTACAGATTTTTAAAAGGTGCCAGAGAAAACAAAGTTATAAACAGGTCTCCTTACTGCAGGACTTATCAGAGCTTTGATTTGCTACATCAATGTAGTTTATGGCTCTCTGGAGACAGCCCTGTCTTATCTGACCATATATGAGTGTATAGTTCCAGGCAAGTGTCTGGAAAATGCTAGACTAGATGCTTTCCATGATGCTTATACACCCCAACTCGCACCCTGCAGCCCGCAGCCAAGAAATGTTCTCTTCATGGGCCACTGGGCCCAGCCCTGGCCAAGAAGAAACTGGAAAACCCAGAGGCCTTATTCCTACCCCCTCTCCTTAATCCCAGGGCCTCTGCCTCCCCTGGAAACAGCACCTTCTTTCTTTAGCTGGGCCAATGGCTTTCCCCGAAGTGCTGATCCCTGCTTCTTGGCCCCTACACTTCTCTGAGGCATGTTGAAAAAATAGCAGCTGTGAGGGGCCTCTGGCTTGCCCTGCCTCCAGATGAGTTCTTTTTTTTAAAAAGAATCATAATTACTTTTTTCTGTTTACGAAAATAAAATATTTCCACGGTAGAAAACATAGCTAGGAAAGCAAAATAAGAAATTAAAAATCACTCATAATCCTTAAGCTGCCCCAATAAATAGATATTCAAATAATATGCAAATTAAGCTTCAAGATGAGCCTCTGGTAGCAGCATCCACTTTCAACCAGGCTCCTCTTTATGGAAATCTTGGAGCTGCCCCTGCTCAGAGATCCTCCCCTCCCCACCCCCAATACCCTATTTTCAGGGCCTGGACAGGGAAGCTTAGCCTTTCAGGAGTAGTCCTTTCTCCAAACATCAAAAGAAGCCACAAGCCTTCGCCTTCACACAATATTTTTACCACTTACAAAGCAGTCCTGTGACTCATTTTCATTTACTGCTCACAGCAACCCCCAAATTAGGAAGCTATTGTCACCCCCATTTTAGAGAAGAATAAACTGAGGCTCAGAGAAGAGTAGAGATGGGCTAGAAAGTGTTAGAGCAGAGACTGAAATCCAAAACCCAAATACCTTTGCCCCAGCACTCCAAGCTGGGTGACCTTGGGCATATCACTTAACCTCTCTGAACTTCCGTTCCCCATCCACAAAATGGTAATAATGAGAGTCCCTGCTTTCTAAGGTTGCCATGAAAATTAAAGGAGTCGCTATTAGTAAGGGGCTGGGACAGTGGCTCACACCAAGAAAGCGCTGTATAAGAGTTTGTTATTGCTTATTATTCCCAGGACACCAGTGGTGCAAAAGGGCTGAGTCAGAGGCACTGGCCTGTCCCCAGGGGAAGCAGGCCTCTCTGGAGGCCCAGGCTCTGGGCGGGGGGGGGGGGGGGGGGGGGGGGGGAGGGTGTCAGAGAACAGACAGTGCTCCTGGGCCACAGGCCCGGTTAGGGCTGGACAGTTGGCACTCACGGATTTGGCGGGCCCAAATCAACTCTCCCGGGGGCAGCGCGTTCAAAGCATAGCATGTTCTGGGTAACCAGACAGTGGACCCCTTTCCACCCAGCCCGTGAGAGAATAAATTGATGCAACCTTTCCTAAGGGCAATCTGGCAATACAGAGCAAGTCTCAGAAATTCTAGAACTTAGAATTTATCCTAAAGATGTCATCAGGCCAGATGCAGAGATCCAGCTGTGAGAATGTGTGGTGGCCGTGAGGTTCTCTCTAAGGTCAGATACCGTCTCACTGCCCAAAAAGCCAGGGATTGGCTAAATGAACTTAAGGATCCCTACAGCGGAACGCTGCGCAGCCGTTAAAGAAATCACGTTGCCGAAGAATGTTTGGCAAGACGTGGAGAAATGATTATAATGTGTTGGCAAGAGATAACAGTTTTGAGCATAACGCGCAATATGACCCCATTTCCTAAAATCTGCGATATGTATCTGTCCTATATAACACTTATGTCCATAGAAAGAAAAGTCTGGAGCGTATACAAAAAATGTGGTCTTGTCGCAGTGATGGGAGGACAGGTAGTTTTGATCATTTATTTCGGCACTTTCTACATTTTCTAGCATACACATGTATTATCTTACAGTCAGAGCAAAGTCAGTAATAAAGAAATTAGGAATAATGAAAAAGCAATTGATAACCTAATCGCCTATAAATCGTCAGTTTTTTTAAGACTGGGGCTGCCAAAAAAAAAAAAAAAAAAAATCCCACGAGGTGATTTACACTCTGGATTCCACAGCTTCTCAGAAGGGTGTCCCCATGGAAATGAGGGTTCTTGGCCTGGGAATGTGGCCCCACAGATGAGGAACAAATAAAGATAGGAGCTGAAAGACTCCTCCCTGCCCTAATCCGGTTTGTTTAAAGAGAAGTTAGAGACTCTCCCCATTAAAAAAATTAATAAAAAAGGAGTAAGGAGCAGTCAATAGGCTCAGAAGTTGCTATGTAAATTGAAGGTGATAGCCAGTTTGGGCCCAAACCTTCTTATCTTTTCTCTTCCTCAGGTAAGAAAACAGCCCCACCCCTGCTACCCTCTAGAAGGTGGGGCAGGTGGAATTTCAAATCTGTGGTGTCTAAGGTGTCATTTCTTAAAGAAAGCCCTCTTTCGAGAGTCTGGGTGGGTTTTTTCTGTTTTGTTTGTTTGTTTGTTTTAGCAGATTGAAACATTATTTCCAGGCAGTTCGTCCAGTTTTAGGTAGAGATAATGTGGCTCAAAGAGCTAATTTCAGGCTGGAACAGGCAGAGGGGCATCAGACCCGCAGCCCTCGGTGTAGACTCAGAGGGAGCTGGTTCAGAGCTCAGGCCTGCCGTACACCTGCTGGGTGACCTTGGACCCATCACTGGGCCTCAGTTTCCACATCAGTAACCAAGGGGGAAAGAAGCCCACCTTCAGAGCTAGGAAAGACTCTGTGCGTTGTAAAGTCAACTGGGTGGCAGACTAGGGCTCAGCATGCGACCCCACTTCTTTTCTACCACCCCTCCTGGGATGTTAGCTTCAGGGTTCGACTGGCTGGTTAGGGGAAAGGGCCCAGAGGCAAGACTTAAAAGATACAACATGTGGTTCAGTTTCCGTGATTTCCTAAATCTAACTTGTAATTGCCTACAAACCACCGTCTAGGCCTCCTGTCTGGTCCGTCGTCTTAGTTCATCTTTACGACAGCCTCGGCTCAGGGGGGTCCGTTTAGTAGACGAGGGACCAGAGAGGCTCAGAAAACTGGTGTCTCTAGACTGACCCCAAGTCAAACGGCGAGGCAGGGGCAGGGGCAGGATTCGAACCCAAGTCTGAGTCCTGACCAAAGTCTGCGGGACATCGATGCTTACGCGTGGCATTCCGCTCTCTTCTAGGCAAACATGAAGAGAAGCAGCAAGAAGGTGGCATCGTTTCCAAGAACTTCACGAAGAAGATCCAGTAAGTGCCCTGGCGGCATGGGTTCCAGGGTGAGGGTGGAGGAGTGGGTAGGGCCTGGGACCCAAGATCTGGAGCGTCTCCGTCTTGGGCATCTCTCTTTCCAGACGAGCCCCAGTGAGGGAATTGAACCCTCACACCTAAAGGGGAGAAAGTGTCACAGCAAACCTGCCGTAGGGTCCCGGAAGAGGTTACGTAGATCATGCCGTCACACCTGGGCTCAGTGCCCCGCGAGGCGGGAAGTTAACAATGTCACTTTACGGATGAAGAGCCCGAGAATTAGAGAAGCAAAATGATTTGTCTGTGATTCCGTGAAAATCGAGGCACTCACCCCGTGGCACGCTTGAGGGAGGATCTCCACCACCATCAAGAAAGACCCTCCCTTGGTGCCCGAGTGCCCAGTGGATTCTTTCGAAGGGTGCCTGCTCTAAGTGTCCCACCGCGGGAGAGCGTGCGCCTTCCCTACGGTATCCACAGGAATGAAGGCGGAACTTGTCCTGACATTGCTGTTTCCTCCTGGGAGGGGTTTGGAGGCTGAGAGGTTGGGACACGTGAAGGGTGGGTTTTGCTGAGGGCTGTGGGAAGGGCTGAGCCGGGGGAATCATGGGAACGGCCAGAAGACCACCAGGCAGGGCCAGTGAATCGAGGCCACACCAGGGCCCTAAGGGCGATGCCTGTAGGGAGGGAGACGACAGCCGGGTGCTGCTGGTAAACACCTCTTCCCTGTACTCAGCAGTTGTCCACTGCGTGCACTCTGGCTCCAAAGCCCTGTCCCAGTCAATGCCTTTAATCTTTGGAGCGGGCAGAAGAGACTTTACCCTCCTTGTTTGTCGGGGAAACTAAATTCCCAGAGGTGTAAGGGACTACCTAAGGTCCTTACGGTTAGAATTTAGCCCCAAACCGATCCCTGAACTCGGTTCAGTGCTCGTGCCCCGGAGCAAAGGATGCCCTTTCTTCACCTGTAAAAGGGATGGGGATGAATCTTGATTCCGGAATCCGCCGACTGAAAATGAAAGGAGATCAGAGCACAGCCACCAGCACCCAGCTGGTCCTCATAAGTGGCAGGCTATTATTACTATCATTGGTGTGGTTATGGAGTCTCAACTCCACCCTCGGCCTTGGCCAAAATGTCCTGGTCTGGAGAGATTGCACCAGCTGAATTCTGAGGCTTCCTTCAGCTTTGGGATTCTGCAGTCCTGTCTCTCCTGCCGTGTGCCCATTCCTGACCCGCCCGGCACCTCTGAGTTCTTAGAAGCCCATGGACGCTTCCCAGTAAGGCAAACAGCTAACTGTTTCTCTTTACACTCGCTGGCTCGCCTGCCATCCCCAAGACCCACACCTCTTCCTGGCACAGAGGCCAGATCACACGCTGCTGAGAGGGAGAGGGGGGAAAAGAAGGGGGGACAAGTGCAAGGGAGCTGATGTTTCTTTGAAGAGACTCAAATAAGGTCTCAGGATGGAGTCACCAACAGGGCAACTCCGTGGAAGGGATTGAGCTGGAAAGAAGTCAGCGGGTTAATCATCTTTTAAAAACGTGGATTTCCCCATCTCTGATGCCTCCGGGAAACAGCTTGCTGGGGTGATTTGACCAATAGAAATGTTTAAAGTTTCTCAAGGCACAGGCTGCTATTCGGCTGGGGTCCAGCAGCCGAGCTGAGCTTCTTGTTATAATATTGGGCTAGCCATTGTCTTGAGCCCCACAAGTGCCCTCCCTACCAACCTGGCCTTCCTGACCCTGTCCCTGGGATCCTCTGAGCCTCCCCACATGCCAACAACAGGGGGTCCCCAGGACCCCCCTCCATCCCTATGCCATGTATCCATCCATTCTGTCTGGTCATTGTCCAGCTGTGCCAGTTGCTAAATATTTTGAAGCTCACCTCTGGGTATAGGGAGACCTGGCTCCATGATAAAGAAAGTGGGTAACTTAGAACAACCAGCTGAACTGCTCTGAGCTTCTGTCCCCGTGTTTCCTCTGGACCAAGTTGTGATGGGGAATGAGAACATGTGTGTCAAACATTCAGCACAGGGTAAAGACTCAGTGTTCAGTCTGTGAGGACTAATAGTATTTTTTAAAACTCTGCAAGGCTGGAGTCACATGAGAGCAGCTGGGACCTCCCGGGACCCCCTGGCTCTGCCCAGGCTCTAGACACCAGAGATGGCCCTGGCCCACTCTCAGGAGGCTCCATTGACTCTCCCCGGAAAAACTCTGGTCATCAGAGAACAGGGGGAAGTTCCTTCAGCCAGAATGAGATCCTTGGAGTTTTCCACCCAGGCAGGATGCTACAGCTGTTTGCCTTAGCCATGACTAGGAAATTCATCCCAACACATCCATCCCCGTGTGAAAGGCGTCATGTTGATTGGATGAGGGGGTGCAGGAGAGATCTTGTGGGTTGGGAGCAGGGCAAGGGCAAGACTGTAGATGGGATCTTTCCATAGCCAATTTGAATGTAAGGACAGGAAGCAGGGGACGCAGGAAGTCATTGATGGAGGATGCTCAAAGTCAAAGCAAACTTTAGGTCCCTGCTCTCCATCTTCCCAGGTATCTGTTTTGCTATTTACTGACACCTGTAATGTGTCAAGAGCCATAAGAGGGGTATAGGTGTAATATTATTTCACCTGTAAAAGAATCCTGTGGAGCCAGTGTTATTAAGTCCATCTTGCGGATGAGAAAACTGATGTTCAGAGGGATGTTGGAATTCCACAAAGGTCACACAGCTAGTGATGAGCCAGGTCTGGGATTCAAACACAGATCTCCCCACCTTCAAAGCCTATGACCTTCCTGCCTGGGTAGGGGAAACTGGATTGCAGTCATTTGAAGACCATCTTCAACTACTCCCTGCTTTATGTGTTTACATTCCCATATTATTAGTTGCTTAAGACTTCTTTCCTTTTTGATCAGGTTGCTTTTGAGAAAGTTAAAGTACTACTACTAATATGTTCACTGAAGAAGACAGTCATAAAACAAACCCAATGAAAGAAAAATGTGGATAAGTTCCAACTAGATAGCATTACCTGCTTAAGGGTTTAAGCTTTAGATCAGCTCTGTCTCTGTTAAAAAGCGACAATAGCAAGGGATAGAGGCTAACAGCTTTAAAGATCATGGTAACACTTAGCTGAGATGTTCATTTGGATGCAAATGGAAGGATTGAGAGAGAATGGAAGAAGAATAATTTTCCCACCATGGTGGTTCAACATATAGGTCACCTGGTGAGAGACCTTGAACAAGTCTATTTTTATCTCTGGGTCTCAGTTTCCCCATATGTAATATGAGAGCACTGTCCTGAACAATCAAGAAGATTCTTTTAGGCTCAGACATTTTTTAGTTTGGTGATACCACAATGTGTGCTAAAATATTCACAGCCATCCAGGTTCCCATTTAAATGGTCAGTGACCATAGTAACAATGTAGAGGCTAACATTTATTGAGCACTTAGGGTATGCCAGGCACTGGGCTAAGCCCTTTGCTTTCATTATCCCATGTAATTCTCCCAGACAGGAACTGTTAACCCACTTTTCATATAAGGATGTAGGTTCAGAGAGGCTAGATCACCAGTCCAAGGTCACACAGTCAGCAAGAGTCAGAATTCAAACTCAGATCTGCCTGCCTGCAAGGGCCATGCTCTGGACCATGGCTGCCCTGCCCCATTGCACCAGGTATGCTACGGGTTAGCATGTAAATAAACGGAGTCGGCCCATCCCCAGCAGTGGGAGGGAGGTCCAGACTTTTGGCCTTGTCTGTGCTTCAAGTTTGACTTGGTGCCTGCCCAAGTTCCCTCTTTTTTTTCCATCCTTCCCAGAAGGCCCCTTGTTAATCTCCATGGCTCTAATTTGGCAGGAGTCTCCTGGGTAGATTCCACTCATGTGGCTACATGTTGCTACTCACAGAGAAAACTCCCCAGCCCCTTCAGGAAGGATCCTGCCCTGGCCAGGAATGGATCTGCCTCATTTCTTGGTTCTGTCATCAAAACCCCTGCGTTTATAACAGGCAGAGTCTTCCCGGACCAATGGAAAGATCTATGCTGATTGACCCTCCTAGCTTCCCTACCATAATCCTTTTCTCAAAAGTCTGGTGCCAGAGGATGCAGTAGAGCAGAGCATCATGGGTTTGGAGACCAAGATTCCAATTCCATTTCCATATGCTTCTTACCAGCAGCGTGACCTCGGGCAAATCGCTTCACGTCTCTGTCCTCAATTTCCTTGTCTGTAAATCGGGACAGTGAGGGAACTTGCCTGGTGGGATTATTGTTAACAACTAAATGAGATGATATGCAGGTGAAGGTCATAGTTTCCATCATCTTTATTTATAATGGCATCCCAGTGAGGCCATGAACATGTTCTCACAATACCAGTAGTTTGATGAAGGAACCATGTCTCAAGATTGCCTCATTTACCCAAAACGATCCAAAGAATTATAATATGTAGCTTCAGAACTGGAACCAGAGTTGGATTCAGAAATCCTGTCTTTGATGTTCTCACTCACTGAACATGTCACTTGATCTCCCCGAGTCTCTGTTAAATGTTTTATGCAACAGGCATATTAATTCCTACCTATTAGCCATTGGAGGATCATTATACAGTTCTAGCCAGGTAATGCCTATAAATGTGTTTTGAGAACAAAGCAATTATGACCTGCCAAGAGCTACTTCAGATGTGACCCAAATCAAGGCTCATTCTTTTTTTTTTTTTTTTAAGTTTATTTATTTACTTTGAGACAGAGAGAGAGAGAGAGCACAAGCAGGTGAGGGGCAGAGAGAAGAAAAGACAGAATCCCCAGTAGGCTTCCCACTATCAGCACAGAGCCCAATGCGTGGCTTGAACTTACAAACTGTGAGATCATGACCTGAGCTGAGATCAAGAGTCAGACGCTTAACCAACTGAGCCACCCAGGCGCCCCTCAAGGCTCATTCTAAGCATCACAGAGTAGCTTACTGTGCGACCATCCTGTTCCATCAGTAATTCACCAATAACGCGTTCTCAGCAGGCACATGGCAGATGAAAATGTGTTGCCTGCTGTGACACCTTACCTATGTTCTACAAAGGGAGGGGAGTGGTGGCCATTTCTGCCAGCAGCCGGTCCAGTGTGAGTAGAGAGACCTCAACCAAGGATCAAATATCTGGGCCCCAGGGACCTTTTAAGTTACTGTTCGAACACCACTTTACCATTTGCAAAGCATGTTCAGACTCTGTCTCACTTCAAATACTATACAATTTTAATATTACTATCTCCCTTTGCAGATGAGGAAATTAACTCAGAGCAATTGAGTGACCTTCCCAAGATCATACAGCTAGAAAAGGGCAGAGCCAGGATTCAAACCCAGCGTTGTATGCCCTAAGAGCCCAAATTCATATCAGAAACATTTTCTTTTGGGGCATCTGGGTGGCTCAGTCGGTTAAGCGTCCGACTCTTGGTTTCAACTTAGGTCATGATCTCATGGTTCGTGAGTTTGAGCCCCACGTGGGGCTCTGAGCTGACAGTGCGGAACCTGCTTGGGATTCTCTCTCCCCCTCGGCCCCTCCCCTGCTCACGCTGTCTCTCACTCTCTCTCTCTCAAAATAAATAAAGTTAAGAAAACTTTTCTTTCAAGTGAAAAAAAAGAATGTTTAAGCTATATTAACAATAATACATGAATAGTATCTTGTGCTTCTTTCTCCTAGGCTTCCTGCAGAGGTGGATCCTGTGACAGTTTTTGCCTCGCTTTCCCCAGAGGGCCTGCTGATCATCGAAGCCCCCCAGGTCCCCCCTTACTCACCATTTGGAGAGAGCAGTTTCAACAACGAGCTTCCCCAAGACAGCCAGGAAGTCACCTGTTCCTGAGACCCCAGTCTTGGCCCATCTTTATCCCTCCCCAACTGCAGGGCTTCTCTGTATTCCAGAGTACATTACTTTAGCTGAATTCATAGATTTAGTGACTAAAATGTTAGGGGTGGGGGTGGACTGACCACGGACTCCCTGGATAGCGTAGTAGTAGGTTTTTCCACAGGACGGTACAATTGGCAGGGTCCTGCTCAATTGCATTAGGCCAAAATGCTGGGAGATTGTTTCTTTACCTTTTCTATCATGATGAAAATGTTGCACATTCTATAGCTGCAGAACAGATAGAAGGGGACATGACATTTCACACTGTATCTTACCTTGCAGCTAATGCAAAAGGTTGCTTTTCTCTGGGGACCTCCCTGTCACCCAGATTCCTATTCTGGGCTCCTGGTTTCCATGCCTGCTCCATGGTTTGGTTGATGGAGCCCACTGGCTCACCCCACTGTGTTTCTGCAGCCCTGGTCTACAAAGGGGTATAGATAGGTCTTACATCCCCATATGGGATTTATCCAACAGCCACATGAAAACAGTGCCTTCTGCTCTTCACCCAGGCATTTATAGCATGTTCCCAAGTTGGCACTCCCTGAGGACTCTGGAAACCGATGTATTCTCTGGCTAGAGTCTCCCCTTTATTGTGCCTCCTATGTCCAATTTGGGATTTTTACAGAGGGGGCTGTCTCCAAACAGCTCCACCAGGAACCAAGCAAAGGCCAGACAGACTGGCAGGCAGGCTAGTGGTATTGTGTATATGAGTGAGATGTGTGTGTCATTGTTATTTGAATTGTGCTGTTGTTTAGGGGGGAATTAACAGTAAATAATAATAATAATAAAAAAAAAGGAGCTGATGTTCTTAGCTTTGTGTGCTTCTTTTGATGACAAACTAAATGCTATGCCACTTAGATACCCAATATTAGGAATGCTTGCGGCTGCAAGCAGTGATACTCAACAAGGAGTGGTTTAAATGACATAAACATCTGTGTCTAACTTTTTAAGAAGTCTAGGGGTGAGTGATTTCAGAGCTATTTTTTCAGTTCTTATGCCACCAAGAGCCCAGAGATCTTCTTCCTCTGCCATCTCTGACAGGTCTACAAGATCTGTCCTCATGTTTGCAAGATGGCTGCAGCAGCTCCAGTCATCTCATCTTCCCATGACAACACATAGAAAGAAAAGGTGGGGGTAAAAAAAAGGTCTTCTCCTCTGACTTTCTTTTTTATAAGTGCACAAGATATTTTCCAGAAGCTCTTAGAAGACTTTTTTTTTTAAATCTCATTGACCAAAACTGGGCCACATGCTCTATCCCTGGAGCCAATCCCATTTAATCCCCATGACAACCCTGAGAAGTAGACATCCATTTTGCAATGAAAAAGCTGACGCTAAGTGGCTTTGGTAAGTCACAGGATAACAACAGAACTTGAACCTAGATGTTTGCTTTTGGAAGAGTTAACGAGGCGCTCCTGGGCTGATTTTCAAGGGCATCTCTAAACCCACAAATGACAGCGGAAGTCAGTGAACATTTCCCGAGCACCTACTTGCTGAGCCCTGTGCTAGGAGCCAAGCATATAGTAAACAATGAGCCACAATTTCTGCCCATAGGAGCTCACAGATCCGTAACAAACAGGCAGATAAAAGCATGCCTGTCCCTCACTTAACTCCTTGTGTACCAGACACCATGTTAGTGCCTCCTGTGTGTAATCGGTGTTCTTGCTCAGCAACTCTATGCGGCATGTTCAACCCTCCTCTCCACTTTACAGATAAGGGAGCCGAGGCACAGAAGGGTTAAGGGCACTGCCCCAGATCACACACCTGGTAAGTAGGGGGCCCAGGCAATCTGACTCCAGACTTACTATGAAATATTACCTCGTGCTGCCTTTCTCTCGACAAAGAAAATGTTAAGGGTGGGTTCAGTGAGTCCGTCACCTTGTGGGAAGAGGAGAGAGATGATATTTCAAGTTGGGGCTTTGCAGGGGGAGGAGAAGAGGGATGACGGGTAATCATAAGAGGGGGAGAACCTGTCAGACTTGAATACGGGCAGGGTTGCACGACTTGGGCAGGTAGGGGTAGGGGTGGGGGGAGAGGCCTCACCAGCAGAACACATGAGCCCAGATGAAAGGCATGCCCCTTTTAAAATCCTTTAATGGTTCCCCATTGTTGGGCGGATTGAGTACCCGCCACTAGGTGAGGCTTGCAAGGCATTATGGGATCTGTCCTTGGGCTCTCTCTGCCCTACCTTAACCCCTTACCCACACCCTCCAGCCCCACCTAACTTCCCCTCTGTTCCTCCAACCAGACAAGCCCTCTCTTTGCTACTAGAACCTTGGATACACTGTCCTCTCTCTCTCCATGATTCCTTTCTGGCTAATTCACCCTCCTCACTGGCTAATTCTTTAGGGTCTCAGCTCAGACTCCCACCAGGCTGGCCAGAGCCCCCTCTCACTTACCCCTATCTGCACACAGCACACCATATAACAGCTTGGGTGTCTGTGCAGCGGGAGAAGTAATAACAATCATAAAAACCAAACTGTCCTACTTTCAAGGATGGGAGGAGGAAAATTTCTACTCCGTTGATGTTTGTTCAACAAATATTTACTGGGCACCTACCACGAGTGACACAGCATAGCGGGTGCCTTTACACTGTGAGGGTCTGGTGACGGAGGGAGGAAATCGAAGCCATTATTTCCACGGTTGCCACTTCTGGGCTCATGAACGGGGGGACCCCGAGTGGGGAGAGTGGGAAGCCCACCCTCTGTGTCTGCTGTGCTAAGTGCAATGTTCGGGACATCAAGTAATAAATGTGTAGTGAGCAAATGAATGGCGAGGGTAGGTCACCCTGGAAAATTGGGCCAAAGGCATGATCTCAGTTCTGAGAGCTTCCAGCTTAAAGACACAAGCCTTGACATCAAGCTAGATGACTCGGCCCTTTGCAGGAGATCTCCAGCGAAATGAAAGAGTGTTGTTCCTGAGCCCTCGCTTCGATGATGATGCTGGGACAGGGGGTGCCCGGAGCCTGCTTCCCCACCGGACTCCCTTGACCTGGCTCTCAGGAGGCCTTATTCTCAGCCCCCACCTCTGCCCCCTCCCAACTGCCTGCCAGCCAGCGGCTGCCAATGGTGATATATGGAGATGCCTTGATTTGACCTTGAAGGGAAGAAACAAATTAATGTGTCTTGAAATAAATTCCCGGAATCAGCGCTGGCTTCTCTCTCCCCCCACCCCCCACCCGGGGCCTCACGAGTTGTGCATCGTAATGTGAAAATCAATACTGTCTCTTAAATGAGCCAACACCTGGAGCTGGCAGGGGGTGGGGCTGCTGGGAGGTCCCTTCCCACACAATGTCCGGAGCCCGGGAGTTGTCGAAGGGGTGGAAGGCTCAAGGCCTGCTGGGGGACCTGCTGTCTGGTTGCTGAGGGCTGGCTGAGTCACCTTGTCTGCAGCAAGGCTAATAATGCACCTGATCCCCAGCTCCAAGCCTTCCTGGGTGCAAGCAGAGGTGCTCTACCTGGAGATTCCTGAGGGAAAGGGAAGGGTAGCCGCGTGCAACAGCATTGCCGTGGCTATTCTCCAAGGATAACTGAGACATGGGGAAAGGGAGACACTCCAGGCCCAGCCCCCCAATTCAGCGATTCAAGGTCTATTCACTGAGCGCCTTTCTTCAAGGTCGGCACCAGTTCAACTGTATGCCCAGGTAAGGCGGCAACAGGTGTCCAAATATTGAAATACTTCATTCAGTACCGCTTGATAAGCAACACTGCCTGAGCCTCTAAGGTGACCCCATTGTCCTAGCCTGTCTCAAGCATGTCTTTTTATTCTGATGCTTTGACCACTTGGGGACTTGCCTGGGGACTCCCCCCACCCCCCCCACCCAAGCTTGGCTAATTCCCAGAGCTAGTAAAGGGCGCACCTGCAGGCACACTTTTTGTATCAAAACCAATGAATCCAGAGCCCATACCAACCACATTCTTCATCCCAGCCTTACGCTCTGAACCACTATCCACCGGCCGTTCACTGCCGTTCATCGTCCAAGGTCAGGTGCCAGACACTGAGAGACAGCCCCTGCTCCCCAAAGCTGGCTGAAATTATTCGGTCGAGCCGATCCTAAGCATGGCTACCCTGCCTCACCTGTTCCTTCCTGCAGAGACCACAGGGAAAACTGCTCACATTTCCCCATTCCCTCTGCCTCTTAACGGACTCTGGTGCTTCTCCACACGGCCCCCTGCAACGTGACAAGCCATCTCCTCTTGGGACCTGTGAGCATAAAGAGCAACTTTTTCAACAGTCCATCACCTCCTGATCTTGTGGCTTTGCCATAACCAAATAATCACAAAACCTCCATTCTAAAACACAGATACCTCCCCTGCCCTTCGAGTCCCTCTGGGAATAAGCAACTGCCTTGGGAGCCGTGGCCATTCTGAATAGTCAGTGCCCAGCCCTGCCGGTTGCTAAAGGTTTGGAGTATCACCCCGCTCTGCCCAGCCTACTCTGTATCAGGGACAGTGCTAGACCCTGGAGAACAGGACAGATGTGGGAATCCGCCCTCATGGGTATAATGGGGTTTCAGGCAATAAATGAGCGAGCAAAGAAAACAGCAATTTCCAGGGCAGGACTGAGCAGGGGCTCTGAGATCAGGAAGCAATAGGGCCGGAAGGGATCTGCGTTCAGACACCACTGTGTGTGTCGCCTTGTCACTTGACCTCTGCAAGTGTTTTGTTTCTTCACCCACGAGAACGGAGGATCGTGATGCGAGGCTGATATGAGGATCCAAGGTGTGTGTGAAAGGCTGAGCCCACAGGTGCAAGGCCACAGTAAGCAAGGAGCAGCAGGTGGCCTCAGCCCGGCCCCTCCTGAGAAACTGAGTCCAGGGTCTTCCAGGGACCCATGGTGGGTTACTGAACCACTGGAGACCCTGAAGTCTGCACCTTCAGCTGACACTTTCCCAGCATCTGCCTCC